ACTCTGATAGTTTGCCCTCCGGGTTTTATATGGTTAAGCAGACTACTCAGTGGTAGAGAATGATGCAACTCGTAAAGAAAATACCCTGAACTTACCATCCCAAGAACTGGACTCAATCCAATTAATAGCATTAAAAAGAGCAGCAGTGCCTCCATAGCACGCATTGGTTGTGTCAATTCCTTCTACATCTGTATTACCAGATTCTTCAAACAGCTGCATCAGGACAGTCTTCACCGATTTTGATTTATCAATTATTGTCTCCGTTCCAACTTCCAGTCTCCCAATGCAGTCGTAGGATAGGCTGTTCCTCTCCATAAGCTTCTGAACCACAGTCAAACAGAGGGAATTGATATCCTCTCGGTCAGAGCAGAAGCCCATCTTTGACTGGCCTAACCCAATGGTGTATTTGCCTGCATCCACACCGTCATACTTCTCCAGCTCTGTCTGGTCAACATACTGAGAGGGAAAATAGATTTCCAGTGCAACAATACCCACATCTTTGGGCCAGCAGGATTCAGTGTTCACTGGAAGAGACCCGGGCATCGTGGCAGATCTATAAGCAAAGAACAAACAAACAGCTCATTTACTCACATACATCATCACCAACATATTTTATATGCTCCATCCTTCTGCAGGTTTACAGAAAAGATAAAGTTTCAGGGTAAAGTTTCAGGTATTCTGCAAATTTGTTTGCCAAAGGCAAACCTCAGAGATTTTTGGTCTGAATATACCATAAATGTCATTATAAATTGTATAACATTTTATGTTAATAAGTTTTTTTTTTTTTTTAATTTCAGCACCAGAGCGTGATGTACTTTGCCACTGCCATTTCATGGAGCGAAATACATGACGAAAGCATTTCAGAAACATCATTAGAATAGATAGATAGATAGAATAGATAGAAGCTATTCTATCCCTGTACACAGCTCTCAGTTTTACACAAAAAAGCTACGCTGATTTTTTATTATTTATTATTTTTAAACGTTGCTGACCGAGAACGAGCACACGCAGGAGAGGTGAGCCTTGGAACGGGACAGAACGGTTCCGAACTGCCTTTATTTTCATGCAGAGCGATCCGTTTCGCTCACGCGCCAGGCAGCCGGGTTTTGCTTTTGTTTTCCCCAGCGCCGCTCGGCAGTCGGGGGGGCGCCGCAGCCACTGGGCCTGAGCGGCGCTGACCCGCGCAGCGCCGGGCTCCGCCACGTCCTCGTAACGCAACAAATGAGCTCGGCGACCGTCCCAGGGAGCTCACCGCGCTCCTTCCAGCGCCGTGCTCAGCCCGTACCGGAACGCGGCCCCTCCACCCAGAAACTACCGCACAAGACGCGCGCCGCGACCGCCGCAGGGAAAGCACCGAAGGCGCGCTCCCGCCCGCAGGCAGTGCAGTGGGGACGCGCCGCCCGGAGCCGTTCGCAGCCCGTCCGTCCGGACGCGGCGTCCTCAAGGTTACCGGGACCCGGGCGCGGGCAGAGGCCGCCGCCGGGCGGAGGGAGCCGCGCCCGCCCGCTCTGCTCTTCCCGCGTTCGGGCCGGGCCGGGCAGTGCCCTGCCGCGCCGCGCCCCGCTCCCCCCAAGCCGAGCGCTCCCCGCGGAGCCGCACAGCCCCGGTACCTACACGCTGCGGAAGCCCATGGCCGGCTGCCAGCGCGGGCGCATGCGCGGCTTCCACCAGCCGGAGATGTGCGCACGCGCGGAGCTCCGACCGCGCGCCCCCTCCGATGCGCCGGGAGCGCGCCACGCGGGCACGGCGCGGCACCTGGGAGCCGGACCGAGGGCGGGGCCGCCCTCGGCTTTCAGCCGCCTTCTCGGGAGCCCTCCGAACGTGCGCTGCTCGGGAGGAGCAGAGCAGGTACACGCTGCGTGCTGCGGCCGGAGCTGCGAGGGCGGTGCAACCCCACCCCGTGAGCGGAGCTCACGCGGAGCCTGGGGATGCTCGGTGGCCGCCCAGGACCGCTCGCTGCACGGAGCCTTCGGAAGGTTGGATTTACCGGGTTTGAACGTAGCCGGAGAGCCGAATGACTGCTGTCTCCACTGCCTGGTTCCAGCACCCACATCTGCGCAGGCAGTGGTGAGGAGCCGCGAACAAACCGACACCGCAGACACGAGGTCTGTGCCGCCTGAGTGAGGCCGGACTGAGCTGCGTCCCCAGAGCCAGCAGGAGCCTGTGTGCTTCCGTGCTCCCTTTCAGCTGGATGGGACCTTCTCAGATCGTTGCGTCCAGCTGCCTGACCAGCTCGGCGCTCACCCCAGGTCACAGCACACCACTGTGCTCTGCCCAAATGCCTCTTGAGCTTGCCCTTTGCAGACACTGGAGACAATCAGCAGCATTTAATCCCGTATAGTTTCTGCAGTTCTCTCATCCAAAGGCTTCTTACAGAAGAAAAAAAAACAGAGGCAAGTGGTGCTGTGTCCTCACAGCAGCTCACCAAACACCCGACAGAGCAACAGCCAGGGCTATCGGCTGTACCGCAGTGTGAACGCCTGGCTTTGTACGCTCACTCTGGGAAGAAAAGGCGTTCTCAGCCTAAGACGAACAAGGAGTAATGAGGCTGGTTGTGGTTTGTTTCGCATCCCATCACGATTACATAGGGAGTAAGCAGCACGAAAATCTATAACTTTCTGCTGGGGTACCCAGATACAGAAACGCATCTTCCCACTGCAGTTAGTGGTTTTCGTTGTCTTTATTAGTAGTTTTTATTCCCCTATAATTTAGCGTTAGCATTTCCTGACAGCTTTTTAAAAGGCAGGAAACGCTCGGCTGAAAGTTATAAAACCCAAAAGCAAGCCTGCTCCCCATCAGCCCCGTACCTGGCAGCCCTATCCTCTCCTCACCCCCCCGCCCCGGGCTCTGCCCCAGACGCGCCGCAGCCGGCGTACAGCGTCCGCCCCAGCTACGCTGACCCCAGCCCGGCCCCGCTGAGGGACCGCCGCGCTGCCCAGCGGTTCTCACCTGCACAAGGCGATGGCTCCGGCTCCGCTATCGCTGGGCGCACTCGCACACACACACAAGAGGACAAGCAGACACGGGCAGCCGGCACGCGGCGCCTTTAAACCGCCCCGCCGCCCGGGCTCCCGCCCACGACCTGAGCGGCTGCTCCTCCGACCAATCACGGCTGCCGACGCATAGGTCCCGCCCTCCGGCCGCCAGGCGGCCGCAACAGAAGGCGGGGGGAATGGTGTGAGAAAGTGACGCGGCGTGGCCAGAGGGCAGCGCGCCAATGAGAACGCGGCAGAGGCAGCGGGCGCTCAATGGGAGCCGAGCGCAGCGCGCGGACAGCCAATGAGATCGCGCTGCCGACCGCGGGTGAGAGTAGGACGGCTGCCGGTCCCCGGCAAGGCGAGGAGCCTGTTGCCTGGCAACGGGGCGAGGCCCGCCGGGCCCGGCGAGAGCAGCTCGGCCGCTCGTGTCGCCTCGTGTCCCGCTTGTCGCGTGTGTCACTTGTGTCACCTGGGCCTGGCCCCGTGAGGCGGGAGCCGCAGAAAGGCCGCGAAGCTGGGTCTGGGGGCGGCCCCGGGCCGGCACGCCGCAACCCGGTTCGGGAGCGTGGAGAGTGCCGAGCCGCCCCTGAGGCGGCGGTCGCAGCCGGCCGGTGCGCGGGGCCGCGCGGGGGTTTCATTGCTGCCCCTCGCAGCGCAAGTCCCCGCAGGCCTCCTCCCTGCCGGCTCTGCGAGTACGAGTGTTGCAAATGGGAAATGGCTCGATAAAAGTCGCATACCGATTTTAAGACCTGGACACGCTGGTTGTAAAACAACGAGGGAGTACACTCCCTTGGCAGCTGGTGATTGCTGCAACGAGCAGAAGGCAGTACCTGGCTTTCCTGACACATCGCATCACCCGGCCCAGTGATTTCTGCCATCACACGGGCAGGTGGAAACTCTGTGAAAGCACGGGGAAAGATCTCATGGAGAGCCTTAGCGCCTGTCTTGTTTCTTTGGGTCTTGTAACTGTTCTGTAATCATCATGTAGAAACAGAGATTTGTCACAAATCTTCACAGTGCAAGAATTGAGAAATACTACTGAGAAACTGAGTTTTGTTTGCACTTGTTACTCTGCAGTTTTCTGACAAACTTGCGTCAGTTGGTGTACAATCCAGTACCATCTGCAAACCTGAAAGAACACGGTGACAAAATGCAAACCTGATGGGCCATGATGTAATTATGTCGTATGAACACACTGTACTTTACATGGCCATAGACCAAACAGAAGTAGTGTCAGAAAGTTCAATGTTTCCTTGTTCAAAATGGGTTGCTAATGCCAGCCTATCATGTACCTCAGCGGCAGAATGTTCCCTCGCATGGTTCTTTGGAGCCATGGAGCAAGACATAGTGTTGAATTGGCAAGATTGTACGTCAGGACTGCAAGAACACCCAGGGGCTTTGCAAACCTTCCCCACCACCTTAGTTTAGCTGCTGTGCAAGGCCGGCTCCAACAGCTCGTACCCTTGTAAGGGACTGCCAAGAGAAGAGGTATGTGGCAGGGAGCTGTGAGAAGCCTTCTTACTTAACCTTTCCCCTTCATTCCAGAGCTGCTACATCCCTTACTGCTTCTGACCCCTTGGCTTGACTTCTGAGTTGGCCCTTAAACCCACCACACCACAGCAGACTCATCTGGAAATCTGGACTCCTGGCTGACCCACTTGCTGCCACTGGCTCTGCCCCGCTCTTCTGTTTGGGTGCTATGATAGCGTGCCTTTGCCAGCAAGGCCAGTGCCCCACTCTCCTTGTCACACTCAGCTCCTGGCCCTTCTGCCCTTTAAGGGCAGCCTTTCTGCACTGCTTCCTGACAGCTTAACTGTGCTTGCCTGCAAGCTTGTTGTTGCTTGGGTTTTTTTTTAGTTATCTTTTTTTATTTGATAAAATTGTTGATAAATTGTTTTTGTGTGTTGTCAACAACATATGCAGGTGTAAATAGCAATCTTGTGAATTTTATTAAATCTATACATATCTAATCAAGAAAAAGTGCCAAAATGACTACGTAGTTTGTTTAGATAATCCGTATTACTGCCTTCTTTTCCATGATGCAGGATTATGAATGACTTTCCACCATCTTTTGTATTTACTTTCCATATTGTAGAAAATAGAATGACGTAGACATGCACAACATCATTACTATTGATCTAAAAGAATGTATTTGCAGCAAAAATAAAAAGATCAGCTACCTGAAGCCAACAGAATTATAACCACGTTCTCCTACTGTGACTGTAAAAAAGCACATTTCAAGATTACACCTTACAAACGATAAGAGAAAGCCAGTTGCTGGATTTTCACAATTTTAAAACAGAATCTGTAGATGTAATTCAGTCCTTTTAAAAATAATTTCAAAAACGTTAAATTCAGGGACCATGTTTAATCTATACTGGTAAAAGCAATGTATTTGTCTCCTAAGGATGTTTCTGGATCAAAGTGCAGATTTAAATTTACATCAAGTTCAGATGACCTCCTCTTGCAGACTGGTTTGATGACTAACTTAGTAGCTTTTGGCAGCATTTAATAGCCTAAGGTTTATTACTACTTCTAATTTAATCAGTACAATTTCTTCTATAACTGTTGTCAATAGTATTATTCTTTTTCTTCAGCTTTACGAGGCTTCAGATCTGATTATCCTATCATTGGGTGTATGTATGGTAATTCTTATAAAACACTGCTATTATCTCTGCAAGAAAGGATCTGCTCTTGCAGTGGAATTGGCTACAGTCATTTTATATGGATTTCTCAAAGAGATTGCAGTAAGAATAGTAGAGTTGTTGGTGGAACTTGTTCTAGATCTCTTAGGTAATTAATTATACTCATCTACCAAATTATTCTCCAGACATGTGATTGCCACCGTTTTCACCCCTGCTGGTGAGAATGCAAGTCATTCTCCTTTTATGACCGAAGAAACAGTGATATTTTCAATAGAGACTGTAATAGAGACTGCTTTTGGTGTGTTCGGAGTAACACGCCAGAATGAATGCTGCACACTGTCATAGTAGCCACAGAATGGGAAACCTAACAAACGAGAAGTCATTTAGTAAAGATGCTGTATTACCAAAGAAACCTACAATAACTCAGAAGAACCACGTAGCAGCAACATGCAAGGATGTTGGCAGGGAGAGGACAAACGCTTCTTTTTCCTTCCATTCATCATTCGAGTGTATTTTGACAGGAGTTTGGAGTTGAGTCTCTCTTACCATTTTTCACTTATGCAGAAGTAGGACCTCCCAAGGAAGGAAGCATGTGTGTTCTCTGGTGATTCTCCTCCTGGTTTTAAGTCAGTGTATCAAATTTAGGGTTCTGGTTTTGTCTCAAAAGCTGTCTCCCAACAACTTCTTTACTTCTGTTACTTCTGGAAATTCTTAGGCAGTCATTCTTGTGGTAGCTTTTTTTCTTAAGCTTCCTAGAGAGACAGCCTGTTATGTTAGTTTAATTACATAAAATAAATGAACAGCCAGATACTAAGGATGTTTCTTAAAACTTGGAATTTCCAAGAATATTAAATGAATCATAAGCCCATTTTGAATGGAATTCAATGGAAACCAGACTTCTAAGTCACTAAAATATTCAGTGCATTCAGAAGCAACTGGCTGCATCTTTGGGTACCTGAATTAATTGAAAAGATAGCTTAAACTAGCATTTTTGGGAAGACAAAGTCATGTGCTGTAGTGACATGTTCTGCAAAACACAACGTTGAGATGACTTTACTGGAAAAAAAAAATTGATTTTATTTTGTTGCCAAGTACAAAATAGCAAAGGTCAAAAATAACACTCAAGTACAGAGGGTGTGACATCTCCTAACTGAAGGTTTGCTAGCTGGATGGTTCTTTGTCATATTTGTGTGTCAGGGTTCAGGAATAAACCTACTCTACCAGAGAGTGGATCTTTAAAGTGTTGCCTTGATATTTTATATACCAATGTTATGGAAAGCTTTTTACATTGAATGATTTGTAGAAATTATTCCTAATTTCAGTTTTTAATTTTTTTCCAAAAGAATGCAAAGGAACCCAGCCAAAATACACTTGTCAGCTTGGAGATGACTTCTACCTTCTCGTAATCTCTCTATTTGATCTAAAGTATCCATAAGAACCTTATATGAGATAATGAACACTCCAAAGAACTGAAAGATATAAACAAAACTATCAAAGTCTGTCTTTTAAAGTAGCTTGATAAAGGCAAGAATTGTAATTGCATTTAAGTTGCATATCTCTCTGGGTCTTAAAATATCTGTGGCACTGCAGCAATTTCAGTTATCAAAAACTACAGAACTACAGTTATATCCCAATTTGCTGTTTTTCTGAATATGCTGAATATCTATGATAGAACAGTCACGGAAATTAGAGTACAGACAGTACTTTAGTCCATACTTAGGTAAAGCCCACATGTACTAAAACCACTGGTTGTGTTGATGGAAAGAATATGAGGAGCTGAGACATTGTCATCAGCCCTCCTGGAAATCTGTTACTCAAGAGAGAAGAATGAAGGTAAAATTTGGAATCATTAGAGCACGAGGAAGAAAAGAAATTGACAAAACAGTGTAATATGTTTGCAGCAATTTAGTATTCATGACAGTCTGCTGACCTGGCCCCATTAGGTTTGGATTCTAATACACATGTGCTGTGTACATACGACATGCACTTAGAGCAGCATCAGGACAGAAATGAAATGGCTAAATCAAGCATCATTTCAGTTTGTATCATCCAGGCCACCCCATCGTGCAGCACAAGGCAGTGGGGATGAAGAACTCCTGTGTATGATCAGAATGTTCTCCTACTCCTGGCAGCAGGGTGGAGCTGTGCCAGTACGCAGTATTCCCCAGAAACTGAAAGAAGAGTTGCCTCATCTCTGTTAGGACACTGTTGGCTCATCAGAGATTATAATTATGCTTCTTGTTGTCTTTTATCTGTTTTGGAAAGAGTTCCTTTCATCAGATATGTATCTGTGGACATATGCTATTCATTCTCTAGTAACCTTGATATAGATGTTCATCTTTACTTTATTTAGAGGATTTACAGATTGTTCTATCTACTGTCATTTGCCAAGCATTCTCCCATGTTTGCAGTATGAAGTTAGACATGAAAAAAACACAAATACTAGAGATAACTCTGAGGAACTAATTTATCAAATGCAGTAAAGAAGAGGGAATGAAATGAACAAAAGCAATAGGGATTATCTTTACTGCATTGCTTTGGATAGTGTTTTCAGTGATAACAATGGCTGAGAGCAGGAAGTGTTTGGAATAGGCAAAGAATGTGTAGGCCATCATAGAGTAGTATCTGGAAAGGTATCTGTAAGACTAGTTAAGAAAAAAAATCATAGTTAATGACTGAAAGAGTAGAAACAAAAGAGGCAACAGCACAAAGGTATTGCAGAAAAAAAAAGATGCCAGTAGGGACAAAAAAGGAGCTTAGATGAATGGAGCACTGAGAAGGAATATTGGCACGTCAAGTAAAAATCAAGGGAGGTAGCAATAAAAACAGAGTTGGAGAGGGGAGGATTTAAGTGCATCCATAGATTTGGAGGGACAGCAGAGCACTTGCTACAAGACACTTTCAGGAACACCATTTTGCTGTTTTGTTTGTAGTTGGCCCAACATTATTCCTGTTTACAGGTGATGGTTCATCTAGCACATAGATATTTGAAAGGTCATTTTAATGGTGTAATCATCCATCCTTGATGCAGTCTGGTAACTTTGTTCACAGTTCTGTATACCACAGGTACCTTCATTATGGGGCTTGCTTCTTGTTACTGTTTATTCTCTTCTTTTTTTCAATGTTTTGGTTCTTCTCTGTTTTCTTCCATGATGTCTTTTTCTGGGGATCTTGTGTTTATTCTTCTTCATCCATTTTTTAAGTCTTTTAATCCGTGGGCTTACACAGAACTTTCTGCCTTCTATATGGAGGCTGACAGAGCAAAAATCAGTTAGAGGAAAAGCGTAAACAAAACAAAACAACAAAAATCTATTATACTTATCATTCAAATATAAAATCATCATCAAAATGCTTAATCTTATCATCACTTTGGTTCTGTCTGGTGTCAGATACAGTAAATGTTGGTATCTAAGGTTTTCATAATTATAGTATCTTTCAAAATCTGAAAAAAGAATGTTCCCATTTCAGTGGCTCTGAAGAGAACCACAGTGCAAACCAGTACATTTTCATTGCCAAAAAATAAGTAGAAGACTTTACTATTACTACTGTGATGATTATCCAGCAAATGTAAATGTCTAGAAATAAACATGTCCAGGATGTGTTTCAAATTTATCATTTTTACATAAACACTGTGATACTGTACTAGCAAAAAAAAAAGTAAATTAATTATAAACAGCTTATGTGTAAATCTGAGGTAATTAATATAATCAAGAATTGGAAAAATAAAATGGAGAATGAAAATGCATAGTTCTTTTTCAGTTCTAAAAGTAAAGCAAGTGTCAAAGTTATTACAGACTGAATAGTAATATTATTGTTGAAGTGGAAATTGAATGTTAGCAGTCTTGAATTCAAATAGCACAAGGGCAGGCAAATCTTAAACCACTCACAATCTTGTTTTTCATTAAATTTTTGCTATCCATCAAAGATTCTATTGGTTTTGATGATGTCTAATAGCTTTAACTTCATAGTACCCCTTTCACAGTGAAGCACACAAAGCAACTCTTACATAACAGCATGTAGGTGGCACAGGCCATCATGTTTCTGGACTTCAAATCTCTCCACTCTTCGGAGAATTCCTTTAGGAATTTCTTCTGAGATTTTCGTGCAACAGTTGAAGGCCTCAGGAAATAAAGCTAGAAAGTAATAACAAAGTTAGAAATTGCATAGATATGAAGGGACAACTCATAGCTGGACTGTATCACAGAATAGTTGAAGTTGTAAGGGATCTCTTGAGGTCATCTGGCCCAACTTCCCTGCTCAAGCAGCAACAACTAAGGCAAATTGCCCAGGACCGTACCCAGTTGTTTTGAGTATCTCCACAGGTAGGAGACTCCACAGTTTCTCTGAAAACCTGTTCCAGTCTTTGACTGTCCTCACAGTAATAAAATGATTTATTTTGTTCAGATTTAATTTGTGTTTTAATTTGTAACCATTGCCTCTTGTTTTGACTTGGAAAAATTTGGCTCCTTTGCCTTCTTTCCCTCTTGTCAGGCATTTATGCACACTGCTGAGATCCTCCTTTCAGAAATACTTTCCTGGAAGATTTTTTCCATCCCTTTCTGAGGGACTGAGGTGACTTTGACCAGCCTCTAATTCCTTGGATCATCATTCTTGACCTTCTTGAAGAAAGGAAAGATATTTTCTCTCTTTCAGTGTTCAAGAACTTCTCCTAGTCATTATGACTGTTCAAAGACAATCGACAGTGGCCTTGCACTGCTATCAGCCAGCTCCCTCAGCACTCACCAGTGACGCCCCCTGTCAGTCCACAGGGCCTCACATCCGTTTGTTTTAAGTGGGCTCTCTAGCCTGATACTCCTCCACTGAGGATAACTCTTCAGGACTCCTGTGTTTCCCTCTGGTTGCAGAGGCCTGGATTTCTGAAGGCCAGTTCGATCATAAAAAATGAGGAAAAGAAGGTACGGAGTATCTTGGTCTTTTCCATGTCATTTAACATCTATAGCCCTGCCCTCATTCAGTAGTAGGCCTATGTTTTCCTTTATCTTCATTTTGCTATTTAAGTACTTTTGAATTCTTTCTTGTTGCATGTTATAACCCTTGTTAGAGTTAGACCCAGGCCAGCACTGGTCTTTGGTCCCTATTCCTGCATGATTCTCTTCTCCTTCCTCATCATTTGCCCCTGATTCCTCCCCTTGTATACATCCTTTTTATACCTGTGCTCCTTTACATTGTGCTCATCCTTATAGGCCTCTGCTTGGCTTTTGGTTTATTGGGATGGACCTTCTTTTAGCCTGGAGGGGGAGATTCTTGAATATCAGTCAGCTCACCTCAACCACTTTTCTCTCTCAGATCATGTTTTGTGGGATTCTTTCAAGCAGGTCTCTGTAGCAGAGGATATCTCATCTCCTGAAATCTAGGAGTATGGTTCTTCTTCTTGTCTCCTCCTCTCCTCCTAGTATTCTGAACCTTACCATCTCATATCAGTGCAGTCTGCCTCCAGTTTTTCTGTCTTTGGTGAGTTCTTTTTTTTTTTGTAAATACCTGGTATAGCTGAGTTCCTTGGAAATTGTCATCAATGCACTCAGATTACACTAATTTCTTATAGGTTGCTTGAGCACCTCTGTCTTATCTTTCCGGCAGGTATCAGGAATGGTTAAAGAACTCCATCTAGAAAAGGGGCTGTGAACCTGAGGCTTTTTCCAGTTGTTTGAAGAAGACCTCATCTACTTTTTGCTGACTGGGAGGTCTACAACAGGTATTCACTACAGTGTCACCCATGTCGGCCTCCCACTAATCCAAAGCATAAGCTCTCTGTTGGCTTATCATCTATTCTTAGACAGAGCTCTGCGCCTTCTTGCTGCTCTCTCACAGGAAGAGCAACTCCTCCTCCCTACTTTCTGGGAATGGAAGATCACTGACACATGAAGTTTTCGGGAATGTAGCTTAAAAGCTCTGCCTTGTAAAGTGGAATCATCCCCATTATCTTATGTCTTAGAAATTATTAATGCTGTTACTGGTTTTTTGTTTATTTCTCCACCCCTTCAGCCCCTCCAGAACTTGTGGGTTCATGACTGAATGCGTCTCTGCTAGAGAGTGATTTGCAGTTTTCCTGCTTTATAAATACCACTGTAAAAAAAATAATTTCCAAGTCACATCCATAATTCGAGAATCTTTGGTGGCAAGTAGTAATGTTTTGGTGTTTGATTTTTTTTCTGCACTAGGGATTTATCTAGGTTGTGATAGTCTTGTGATCAAACCCATGCTTCAAGGTGAGCACAAGGACTTCTCTGTCCCAGTCAACGAATCAACAGTGTGGGTGCAGTGGGGAGTTGGAATTTTTTTTTTCTTGGCCTGTAAATCATGCTGTTCTTAAGTAACCATTTACCATTGGAGTGCAAGAGTGATGGAGCAAGGCAAGAATAAGCAGGAAAATATATTTTGAGTTGTTCCTGTAAGTAGGAGATTAAAAATCTCCTCAAAACATTTCTTGTAATAAAGAAGATTGTATGCACTGGTTCTTATAGAACTCTGGATGAGAGCTGAGATAACAGAAGATGCCAGCAGAGGCGCAACACTGGGCTGGAGCAGCTGGCAGTGTAGCTGGAGTCACCAAAGACCAGCCATGCTATGTGCCACAGCTTTCAGGAGGTTTTGTACCCGGTGTGGTAGATGACAGCCCAGGGAGTCACAGAGGAGAGTGAAGCAGTTGCCTTTTCAGCAACCTGCAGAGAAGGATTATACATAATCATGTGGTACAGAAGAATGAATTAAATTTTGTGTTACCTCCATTATTTCCCTGATGTCCCTTTCTCTTCTCGCTTTAATAGCACACTGTGTGTGTAGCCAATTAATTTGTATTTGCAGATGGAAATTCAGTTCACTGAACACCATCACATTTAAATTTTTTGTGGGTGATTGAGGTGTGAACATTTGTTGTTGCCAGTGCTTGCAAAAGGGTTATAGGAAAAAAGCTCAGGAAAGGATAATTGTATCCTGAACACTCTCTGAGCTCTACTCCTCTGCTTCTGCGGGGTCTGGCAAATTGAGTCCCTCAGCAAGGCCAGCACTGACAGCTGCTTACAGTGTGTGGGGCACTATGGAAGGTCTGAGGGTGAGCCAGCTATCTCCTGGCCTCATGTTCAGCTGTTTTCTCTGCTTCATGGTCATCATCTCTTGTCCACATTTGTATGCTTTGTGTGCTTAGAAGTATCACTTGTTTTGTTCCACAGATCTGGACTGTATTGCACTGGCCTTTGCACACTGTGTAACTGAAAATTAAGAATTTATTTTTATATTAATTTAAATCTATATTAGTTTTATTATATTAATTTTATGTCTATGTAAACTCGTATGAAAAAAATTAAAGCAAAGTTCTTGATGTCTTCAGATGAGCTTGTGAATATCTCCCTGTCCATGACATCACCCTTTTACAAGACACTTGAAAACTGCAGAAAGGTGTTTGTATTGCATCTTTAACAATCACTTATGTAGCCAGAGTAGCAATTTTAGAATGAACTGAATTACCCGATGCTCAGTCAATCTTTGAACTGGAGCATTAAATCCCTCCAACTAATGCAACTATGCAAAAAAACCTGTGCCTTTAAATGTGAAAGCACACAACAAACTGCATGTGAAGCTGATGAATACATCACCAGGAAGCAGAATGAAATTGTTTTGTAAAATATGAATGAGGGAGTGCTTATGTCCACCTCTCACAGAGGCTAAGAACGTGACAGTTAACTTTCTGTGGAGGTATGTGCTTAGGATTTGTATGGGTGCTTGCCTTGAGAAATTCCAGTTTGCACTAACTTGTTTTTTTTTGACTGAAAAATAAGATTTACTTTTAAATAAAATATTATATATGTATTGTTGTTGTTCTGTGGATGATCTGCAGTTACAGTATGCCAAATAGACACTAAGTATCCATCTCTGAATTGCAGATAAATACACATTATCAGAGCTATTCCATCAGACATGTAAACGTCATCTGCAATCTTGTGCTGGCAGAGACACGATGACTTCGAAAATGAGTCATTCTGAGTCAGGGTACGTTTACCTTCTGCTAAACAGGAAGAACGCTCAGGGCAGCGGCTCAGGGAATTCCCCTGCACCCTAGAAGCAGGGACATCCTCTCCCGCAGTGCTGGCTGCACTACAGCTCCGCTGCCTGGTCCATTATTACTATAACTGTGCTCTGAACCTGTAAGTGGGTGGGAACGAGGTGATAATAAATAAAGCTAATGAATTCAGCCCAACACAATACCAGAAATATGTGTGGGCATTAGCAATTAGATCAGGCTTGTTAGCTGGTCTTCACAATGGTTAGAAGCAAAGAACTGCAGTTTTCCACCTGGAAGCTGGCCTGGCCTTTTATTTGCCCTTCCAACTCCATGGAGATTTTTCCCAGTGCTGCCCGTTTCACTTGTCTCTATGCCTAGGCAACACAATCAGAAATCCACAGCTGCTTACCAGAACTGTATAGACCTGCTATCTGGTATAGAGCTTTCTTACTCAGACATCTAAAGGAACTTTCTGTGTTGCTGGATGGCAAGACCAAGATTAGTGATGAATCTTGAGACAGGTCCGTGCAGGGATCACTCTGCTGCTATTCAGCAGCTTTGGTGTTTGTTCCTCAGCAACACTCACCAGGAAAATAAATTATTGCTTTTAAAATATTTTGTTTCCTATTTTCTGCAGCATCTCAATCCTTTGATCTTGCAGAAATGTCCACTGGAGCGAGTTAAGCAGCACAACTGAGGGCAAGCACAAGTAACTGGAAAACACCTTCGCTCACTCCAGTTTCTCTCTTAAAGATGCCTAGGTATGATGTCCTTTTCAGGTGGGTACTCTGTCACTGTGCCTTATGGCATACATTGTCACTCATCTTTACATTATACTGGATTTATTTAATATGCTGTGTATAGCTTTTCCAATTTCAGATGAAGTGGAAAAAAAGGAAAGCTTTGCCTTTTGAGTGAAAATAATGTGTTTAGCACATTTGAACAGAGGAAAAAAAAAAAAAACCTTGATTTTTCCTTAAAATAAAAAAGAAAATAAGAGAGAAAATGTCTGAAATTCTGAATTACTTCGAAAAAGTCCTTGCTTTTCAGAGAATGCAGCATGAAAACTTAATTTCAGCTTTCCACAGTGGTCTGTTTTCTTTCAAGCCTATCAGACTTGGTAGCACTATAGTTACTTTCTTAAGGCTGAAAGGATCAACAGCAGTTGGCAACTACAGATGACTGCTTTCACCTGCTCTTTTAGAGAAGTGTTTCTCCTTGATGGAAGAGATCTTCAAAGTCTGTGATATTCAGTGGGTTTTAATTGAATTGCTGTTGATTGCTAGAGAATGAACCACAGAGAATACGATGGTGGCTTTGATGGAACAAGACCTTCGTTTTATCTGTCTTTACACTTCTGTTCATCAGTATCAAGTCTTTGCTGAAGCTTCCTTCCTTCCTTCCTTTCTTCTGTCCCTCCTTCCCTCCCATTTATGGAAGATGCCTGATGAAAAGCCCTCTTACTAATCCTGCAGGGGTAGCAAATGGTTATTCTGCTGGCCCCTGGCTGTAGCTTTTTTAGGCAAATAGATAGATTAATATTTAAATGTGTGTAGACACTGAAGGAGAAACATAGCAATCATTGTCTCAAATAGACTTGTCCTGCAGAACACAGCAGAACATGTATTTGCCATATATTTTAGCTGAGGGGAATCAGCTAGAGAAAAAAAAAAAAGAGAGGAAATCAGCTGGAAATAGAGTGATGGAGTCAGTACATTCCCCAACCCTGTACTTTGTTGCAAATTTGCTTGATTTCACTTTTGCTTCCTTTAATCAAGTACAACAGGAAAAAGAAAAGGGCTGTAGGTGGGAACAGTAAGAAAATCATTTCTGGTCTCTGCTCCTGTATCCAACCTACCCACTTTAGACCTTTTGCAACTCTCCTCCTGGTAGGTTTCATGCCAGCAGTTAGTATTTTGACCAAGCCTTTGTTCAGCCCTGAATCCTGCTGGCAGCATGGATGAGCCCACCAGTGCTGCTAGCAGAGCCCTTGATTGTAAACTGTGCAGTAACCCATGGGCTGCTGAGTGAGAAGACATGTGAAGATTTTCTCCTGTGTAACTAAACAGAAGGTAGGTAGTTCTTAAATTTAGGAGTGGACTAAAAGGGTGCAGCAAAGATACATATGGGTATTAAGCAGCATGGATTCTTTCAGCATACCATGTGGTCAGTCAGATAGCTTGTCTTGCATGGTGAAATCCATAAACCTGGGGCACTTTCTGTATCTATGCTGAATCTGCTGCTAATATGCCTCAAATTTGTTGTGAATTGATGTAGCTTTGCATTGACTGCACAACTCCTGGAATTATTAGTAGCAGTCATTAGTGTATCCTAAGGGAATTCTTTTGTGGTTGCAAAGTAGGCTTTATATATCCACAAAACAAACAAACAAACAAACAAACAAAAAAGAACAACCACAAAACAAACAAACAAACAAAAACAGACAAAAAAAACAAAAAAAACAAAAAAAACCCCTCACACTGATTATCTGGATTAAAGCCTTGCTTAGTCAGAGCATGATAGGTATGAGAATGCTCTAGTGCCTGTAAAGACATTTCTGTAGGTAACTTCATAAATTCACATAATCATTAAGGTTGGAAAAGACCTTTAAAATCATCCAGTCCAACCATCAACCCACCAACCGTTGCCCACTAAACCATGTCCCTAAGTGCTGCATCTACATTTCCTGAACACCTCCAGACCCCTTACCACTGCCACAGGGATACTACTCCTGTGATAATTTGCTTCCCCACTTCTTTCTTTCTCCCAACCTCCTCCTTCAGCCTGGCCTTGTACACAAGGTCTTTCACAGGAAGACAACAAGCAACAGTAGCGATAACACTCTATAAAACAGATTAACAACCACAAATCTGTCTAAAACTGGAGAACTGAAAGAAGGGATAGAATACACCCAGTTCAACAGCTGAATGCCTATCGAGCATGCACCTAAAAACAAAGTATGAATATTAGTCAGTCATCCTACCCATCAACTACTGAGAAGCCCAAGAGCTCCTTGAGCTCTTCTGCATGGCATTGGGCTGCATGACAGGATCTCTCCTCAAGCAGGGACACATCTAAATGTTAACGCATGAGGGCTGGCAGTGAGAGTGGTGCACTCAGGGCAAGGAGGCTACTAATGTATGCTATCCTGATCTCTGTGCTGGCTGGCTGCTTCCTCATGCTCCTGCTCCAGCTCCTACTCTTCTGCAGGAAGATGCTGGAGACCCCTGGCATGGCCAGAATTGATGACAGCCTCTTTCATACCCACATCACATCCAGACATAGTACTATAGTAGTACCATCCATGCAGTACTATTTCCATGGCACCAAGCCAGCAGGCGGCTAGGTGGCACCAAAGCTGGTCCTGGGAATACAATAACAGCTTCCATTTGGCCATCGAATTGGACCTGGTCCTGGTGTAAGTCAAGGTTTAACCAAAAGTAAGGCAGATCTTTTAGTGCTTGTTTGTTCATGAAGCTACCAGAAAAAGTTTCCCTCATCTCAACCAAACGTTGGGCTGTTTCAAGAGTTCAGTACCTCAAATAAGGTCTTTTCAGCTTAACCCAAAGCACATCAGTACCTCCTTTGCTATGGAGATGGCTCTGATCCTGGCTGACAGGTGAACAAGACAGGATGCTAGAACCCTTGGCAAACGTAGCATTGTCCTCTGTGAAAATGTGGAGGTTGCTTAACAGCTGGAAGTGAGATAAAATGTGCTTTACCATACCCTTATTCTATTCTGACAGCACAGGAATGCACAAAGATAACTCACACAACTGCAAACGAGACAAGGAAGAGGGAAAGCAGAATCTTTAAAATGTAATTAAATTACATTAATAAAATAAAAATTTTGCCACAATCCTAATAAAAATCCTGCCACAATTCTACAAAAGAATCAGTGCCACTCATTCTGGCACTGCCTGGCAGGGCCACAGTTCTATCCATGGCAGGTGTGATTGGCCTCCAGGTGGCCTTCCTGGCCTCAGTTCAACAGCTATTACTGCACAGCCATGAACTGTTGACAATGAACCACAAACAACTATTCCAGGTCTGTACACATCACCCAAAATGTTTGTGTACCTGCACCACACCACTGAAATAAATAGATGCATGCAAAGCAGCCTCAGCAGCCTGATCCATCTGCCAGCTCCAAGTGAGAAAATGTGCCTGGGCCCATACACATGCAGCTCTGCCTGTTTTTATTGCAGGTTCCACTGTTGTATGTTGCTGTTAAGCACGGAGCATGTTTGCATATACAGAAAACTAGAGGATGAAGGAATTTTCCCTGTGCCAGATAGTGAAGGAACATGCTCCAAGAAAACCCTTCCTTTGACCTGTGTATGTGCACTCCGTTGCTGTTGTGCAAGACCTGGCTGAGTGTCCAGATCATAAAATGAATGGAAAAAACTCATGCAGCCTGTGCAGGCCAGCAGGTACTGTGGCCATTTTAAAGGATTAAAAAATTAAGGTAGATCTTGTCCATGCATTGTGAAGTCAGTAATTCCTGCTCCTAATGCAGCCAGTGAGAATTGAGAAAGGTGCACTGCAAAGACTGAGTTCTCCAGAATGTGAGTTATCTTTTCCAACAACATACCTTATTTTACCACGGAAAATTACAAACAATAGGACTCAAACACAAAACTGCATAACTGTTTTGAAATGTATTTCAATAGACATACAAGAAAACAAAAGCAAGCATTATGAGATCTCATGAACCCTCAAGACGCACAGTGAATGCAAAGTTGTGAAAACCCTCTTCTGAGTATGAGAAATAGGTTACATGGAGTTTGTCATATTGAGATCTTTGTCATCTGTGACAATCAAACTTTAGAAAGAAAGGATCGAGTTTTTTTATGACACATCCCCTCTCAAGAAGTTTGGAAAGGACTGCAGCTGAACTGGAGAGATCCCTTTAAACAAACAGAAAATCTTTGTTAAGTGTTCTCTGGAAATCACTGCTCCAAGGTACTACACCTTCAGCAATTAAAGCTCTCAGCTGCAGCGTTCCTGACTGTATTCCCTGTGACAAATCACCCACATGGCTTTTCCTTCTTAAGCCATTATACAGAATCACAGAGTTCCTGTACTTTTAGGGAAACATGAAGGAAACACTCAGGTGAAACTGATACCGGCGGCTCTCTGTGGGTGGGAGAGCCGAGTTTCGCTTTTAGAACTTCTCATGCCACAGACCTCTAAGCTAACAGCTCTGATCCCAGACAGAGCTGCAAAGACTGAAGCAGACACAGCTCCAGGCAGACACCCTTTGGGAATACCCTCGTCCTCTTTTAGGAAATTAAATCACAGAAGTAGGTAAGTGCAATGGTACTTACTTGGGGATGTAAGGCTCACTGCAGCCGCCAGCACAGCCAACACAGTGACAAAGCTCACATCCATTCCTCCCGGGGCCATGGGTACACTGCAGGCAGGTGCAGGTGTTTCAGGAAATGTCCTGTGGCTCCTGTCTGCCAGGGAGTGTGGCTGCCAGGGCCCCACCCTGCAGCAGCTCGATGCTGGCCCTGCTGTGCAGCAGCACTACCTACTACCTGTATCCCTGCTGTCTGTAGCCTCATGCTTGCCTTGGGCCCTCCGTGCTCCCCTTGCTAGGGTTGTTCTCCAGCAGCAGAGGATGGAAACGTCTCCAGAACAAACACTTGCAGAATTAAAAAAACAAAACAAAACAAAAAAACACAAAACAAGAAAGCACCTTTGCTGTTAGATACTGTGTCTATGTAACAGTGTGTGCAGCACTGTGGACAGCTGGCTGCAGCAGAAACAAGCTTAAAAGGTGGGCCGATGTGAATCTGATGAGGTTCAACACAGCCAAGTGAAAGGTGCTGCACATGGGTCAGGACAGTCCCAGATATATGTACAGAGTGGGAGAACCCATTGAGAGCAATCTGCAGAGGATTCTGGAGTCCTGGTGGATGAAAAGCTGGAGTCACACTGAGCCAGCAGTGTGCTTATGGCTGGAAGGCCAATTGTACCGTGGGCTGAGCAGAAGCAGGGTGGCCAGCAGGGAGAGGAAGGTGACCATCCCTTATGCTCTGCCCTCATGAGGCCCCCCCTGCAGTACTGCGTACAGGGGCCCCCAGAGCAAGAAAGACGTGGAGGTGTTAGATCAGGTTCAGAGAAGGCCACAGAGGTACTCAAAGACCTGGAACAATTCTCTTGTGAAGGACGATGAGGGAGTTGGGCTTGTTTAGCTTGGAGAAGAGAAGGCTCCATAATGGCCTATCTGTGGCATTCCAGCACTTAAAGGGAGTGTGTAAACATGAAGGAAGTCAACGTTCTACACAGTCTGATAATGATAGGACAAGGGGGAATGGTAGGCCCTGGCACAGGTTGCACAGAAAAGCCTGATCCCTGGAGGCATTCAAAGCCAGGTTGGATGGGAACATGGGCAGCCTGAGCTGGTGGTTGGCAGACCTGCCTGTGGCAGAGAGGTGGAAATAGATGTTCTTTAAGGTCCCTTCCAACACAACTATTCTGTGATTCAGAGAGGCGCAAGCTGGAGAAGCCTTGTGCCAGGCTTGAGTTGGACAGCTGTGCCTTCAATGTGTGCATTCCCAGGGCTGCACTGCCTGTGCCCTAGCCCTTCTGACTCACTGGGGTTCTGGAGTAGTTTGGGGAAAGACGGCAAGAAAGGAACCGCAGCTGGTGTACATCCTCCATTCTTTCCCAATTTTTATCTCTGCAGCCCATTTCAGTAATTTTCCGTGCCTCAGTCTGACCTTCCGTGGGCATGGCTTTCCGTGGGGAAAAATAAAACAGTGTTTGGGGGTGCTCCTGTGAGCAGTGTCAAGAAAGGCTTTTCCTGGATCATGCAGGCAACGGGAAAGTCAGGGAAAGTTTTCTCCTCCGCTTGACACAGTTCACAGGTTCCAATCTTCCAGTGCTCGCCTCCGAACGGGGGGCTGTAACCACTGCAGCCACACTGCACCACTGCCACTGCGACCTCCTGGGGCTGAACAGCAAAACTAGCCCAGAAGGCCCTAGGCTCCCAGCCAGGCTCACCTTTGCTCCGTCTCACCACAGCACAGCAGTGCTTACTGCAGCGGTTCTTAGCTTCCGAAATCCCAGATCACAAGGTATAAGGAACTGCCAGCCTCAGAGACTTTAATCTGCACTTGAAACTTCCCAACACCAGTTTCACAATTCAGCCTAATAATAAATTAATATGGTGCAATCAAACTGATGGGCTATCATGGTTTAACTTTGTCGCTCTTGGTTCCTTCTTGATGCTCTTATCTACGGGGGCAAGAGAGCAAGGTGCCTGCAGAGCACTGTGCATTCAGATGAGAACCAGCTATGTCAAGAGGGGAAGATTACATGTGCTACTTGGAGCACAATTTCAAGGAAGTCATTTGCATTGAAATCAACAGGCTGACTCATTGTCAGTAATTAATTACAATGAAAAATCTGTTAAAAAACTCAACTGCCACTGCAGAAGCTAAAGTAGCCCACGGTTCATTCATACCTGAGCTTAGGTAATGATGAGACTGTTAACAGCATGAATGCACTTCAAGGTAGCATGAAGAGGAACAAGCTGAATAAAAAGAAACACAATGAGACAGGTGTTACTGAGGCAATATGTTAAATAAACTGCCTCAGTCAATACGTATTAGCTTCTGTGTTCCAGCTGCTCGGCGCTGCAGCGCTGGGTTACATATCCTCAAGGACAGCCAAGGCATTCACTCTGACACATGCTCTGCATGGGATCTCCAGATGCAGCTTTAAAAGGCTGGTGCAGGTTCACAGAATCTTAGAATCATGTAATTGCTTGCATTGGAAAGATCCCAGAGATAACCTGGTTCCAGTGCCTGCTCTGGGCAGGGCTACCACCTGTCTGCTCAGGCTGCCCAGGGCCCCATCCAGCTTGACCTTAAATATAGCCAGGGATGGGATATCCACAGCTTCTCTGGGCAGCAGTGCCAGTGCCTCACTGCCCTTTCAGTGAAAAATTTCCCTGACATCTAACCCAAATCTCTCTTTTTTAGTTTAAAGCCATTTCACTGTGTCCTGTCACCTGCAATGAGTTCTCCCCAGAGCCTTTTCCCGGTTGAACAAGCCCAGCTGCAGTATCCTCAATAAAGCTTTCCTCTGCAGTCACATCGCACAACTTTAGCTCGTGTTTTACAACTTTATGTGCCACTTTATGTGCCAGTAATTTACAATATGAAACCTAGTAGAAAAAAGGCAAAAGGTAAGCTGAAGAAACAACTCCATTTTATGACATCGGGAAATTCAAAATAATAATAATAAAGCCAGAAAACAATAGCAAATATTTTGCTATGATTCCACTTACACAGACAACCATCCAGCACACAAATAAATACCAGGTTAGACCTGGTAGAAAATCTTTTCCCAGAATTGCACTGACATAGTTAACAGTGGCATTAGCTGCAATTATAGCTGAAGTAAAGTGGAGGGGTTTATTGACATATTGGCCTGGATTGAATTCAAAGCTGAAATGAAACTGCTAACCTGGAGGCAGAAGGCAGTCATTCTTCTGCCTTGAGAAATAAAGCTAATTCTTGGTTTGGTCACTTCTTAGGTTCTAACTTGTACTTGTGAGCAAAGCGTAATGTCTTACACCTTTCTCCAGTCACTCAAGCAATCTGCCCTTTCTAGCCCACTCTTTGCCCCCTCAGCCTCCATCACAGCAGTGATGGTGTGGCACAGGAAGCAGCACCTCGTGCCCTGCAACACCAACACTGCCCAACTCCAAATCCCAAGCCCTCTGCAACACTGGAGGGAAAACCAGGACTCAGCAGCCTTCAGTCTGCCGCTGAACTCTCAGCAGAGGGGCTGATATCTGATGAAGAGTAAAGCCAGTAACTCAGTTTGTGAAATTGGGATAAATCATGTTAAAACAACTTTGGACTGCAGCTATGTTCAGTAAGATGTAATTCAAACCTTTGTTTTTGGCTTACTGATAGATCCTGTGGGCTTCTCTCTAACTTTAGAACATTTTTTTGGTTCTGTGTTCCTCAAACCTGCACACAGTGCTCAAGGCGAGGCCAGACCAACGCAGTGCAGACTGCGACAACCCCTTTCCTCAGCTAGCAGCCATATCTCCTGCTCCAGGTAAATGTCCCTGATGGTAATGCTGCCCCGGCCCTGGTCCTCCTTTCTGTGCAGAGCTGAGGTATCCCATCCTCTGCTGTGGGCTGGCACTTGGGGCTCTGGCACTATTAGGCATTATACCTGGAAGTGTCTCTACTGAACTTTGCTTTGTTTTTGTAATTTTCATCCTAGGTGCAGGTCAGTGCCGGGCACCTGCCTTTGGAAAAGACTGTGATCCCCCTCCCTCCTGACCAAGCCCCCTGCCTGTCGGTGTGGCTGCTGAAGTCATTGCTGACCATGAACAGTTGAACCCTGATCTCTTTCAGCCACTGTTTGTTCTGGGAAATTAAATTTTCCCTTGTATATCATCAAAACCTAATGAGTTCAACAAGGCCAAGTGCAAGGTGCTGCAATTGGGTCGAGGCAATCCCAGATATTTATACAAACTGATCTCCTTGAGAGCAGCCCTGAGGAGGACTTGGGAGTCCTGGTGGATGAGAAGCTGGACATAAGCAGTGTGCCCTCGGAGCCTGGAGCGCCAACTGTGTACTGGGCTGCATTAAAAAAAAAAAGTGGCCAGCAGGGAGAGGGAGGTGATTGTCCCCCTCTACTCAGCTCTTTTGAGGCCCCACCTGCAGTACTGCATCCAGGCCTGGGGCCCCCAGCACAAGAAAGACAAGGAGTTCTTGGAACAAGTCCAGAGCAGGGCCATTAAGATGATCAGAGGGATGGAGCACCTCTCCTGCGAGGAAAGGTTGAGGGAACTGGGCTTGTTTAACTTGGAGAAGAAAAGGCTCCAGGGTGCCTTTTCCTCATTGTGGCCTTCCAGTACTTGAAGGGAGTGTATAAACAGGATGGGGAAGGACTGTTTACATGGGTGGATTGTGATAGAACAAGGGGGATTGGTCAGGGAAAGTTTAGTTTATATATGAGGAGGAAGTTTTTCACAGAGAGTGGTGATGCACTGGAACAGGTTGCCCAAGGAGATTGTGGATGCCCCATCCCTGTAGGCATTCAAGGCCAGGCTGGATGTGGCTCTGGGCAGCCTGGTCTGGTGATTGGTGACCCTGCACATAACAGGGAATTGAAACTCGATGATCTTTGTGGTCCTTTTCAACCCAGGCCATTCTATGATTCTATGATCATCGTGCTCTGTGTTACCTCTCCAGCATACAGCTAGCACTGGGACCTTCCTGCTGCCATGGTGAACTCGTGCCCATGGTCACTAGCCCTCCTTCTCTGAGGAGAGCTCACCCAAAACATATCCTCCCCACACCTTTGTGACTTTCCATTCCTTCTTTCTAAAAGGACACAAAAGAAATTCAGGGTGAAACTCAACAATGTGTTATACAGGAATGCATGGGCAGTACTGTAGCAGGGTTTGT